TGAAGTTCTGCTCTGACACAGTGGGGTCACCATGAGTCAGAATCAACTTGGCAACAATTTATTTAAAAACCTTTGAGAGTAAGGCATGACTCTCAAAGCAGAGGCCTGGACTAAGAACAGAGGGTATACTTTGGGCAGTGAGGAATTGTGACAATAGCTTCAAGCCCACAAGTTCATTTCCTCTGAAGCCATCAGAATTCAGACTGTCATTTGGAAACACAGTGTCCTGACAAGGAAGATGTTGCATGTCCCCATCTCTGACCCATACCAACAGAATGCAGAATGCCCAGGAAGAAAAACAAGGTTCTTCTGATTTTACACTTCGAGAATTCACAAGAGCAAGGCCATTTTTGTCATTTTTTTTTCTTTTAGTACTAATTTTTTTTTTCAATTTTATTGTGATTTAGACAAAAGTCCATAGAACAATCTCACCCTCCACACAACAGCCCACATACACCCTGTCCCACAACATTGACTACAATCTACCACAGTGCAACAGCTCCAATCCACCTCCCCCACACCCACCTCCTCTCTGTGTCCTTCTCCCCCCACATACCCCCGGTACTGAAGCCGTCCTCCTGCACACACACAGCCCCTCCACTCTCCCATGACTGATGTCCCCAAGGAGTGTACCCACCCAATGCAAATGTTTAGCTCACACACCCATCCTCTGTCTGGCTGGAAGCCACAGGAGCTGGCCTAACCCCAGACCCAAAGGGCAACAAGGGACCACACAGTCCCATTGGTTTCACCAGGCTCCACCAAACCAACAAACCCTATCCCCCTTTCTTAATTATCTAATTTATTTTTCTAAATAGCTAAAACACATAATTTTATCCTCACAACACTCTATGAGGCACACTGTTAAACTGAGGTTTAAAGTGAAGGAATCAACTTTGAAACATTGAATAATTTGACAAAAGTAGATAGCTTGGGAGTGGCCGAACTCAGGATGCAGACACAGGTTTGTCTGTCTGACTCCAGGATCTACACATGTTGTCTACTGAAAAGCAAAGACTGTCTTACAAGGACTTTCTTACATTCATTTTGAGTAATTCCAACTGTCCTTCTCAGTGGAATGAGTCAGCCACTAATCATGCTTGGTCAACAGTTATATATAACAAATATAAAGAGAGAGGAAGGTGGAGAAAGGGAGAAGAGAAACAAAGAGAAAGAAAAGAAAAGTGGAAAGTGGTGCTTTTGCAGTGATGCCAACTTATTCTTGAGCAGGAATCTCAATTCTATGGAAAAATCCATAATTACATAGGCAACAGTGTACTCTACTCAAAGGAGCTTAAATGAACCAGACCATGTGCTCACTGGGCTTTCTGTAAATGTGCTTGTTTTCTACAATTGTGACTTGTCCTGTGAGAGACACTGGCTTCCAAGAGAAGGTGAGCTTCAGAGTCAACTCAAACTCAATGTGATCCCACCTCCATTACTTCTGGAAGTGGAGCTTTAGGCAAGAGGACTAATCAGCATGAGTCTTTTTTCATTTGTAAAATGGAGACATCATTTGCATCTCTGTGGATGCCTGGAGATGTCTGCTTTGCTGTTAGAAAATTCAAATGTTACAAATTATTTCTAGGATGTTTCCACATGTTCATCCTAAAGAAGCCTAGTCAATTGTCCGCTTAACACTCCACCACACTTTCTAGTGGGCAGGAAGACAAGTGAGTGTGTCAACTTTCTCAGCCACCACATGAAGTTAACAGGATAAGTACTGACAGAAAAGGATTCTGAATATCATAATGAAACAGAGAGAAAAAAATCCAGCCTTTCCAGGATACCAACGGAAGCAAAAACAAGGAAAGATACAAATGGAGGAAGCAGATGTGACAGCTACCATCCTTTCAAGGCACAGCTCCAATAAAACAGGCATGATTCCCCCATTCTAATGACTTTATTGATTAAAGGAGGCTGACACTCTTCTGGTTTCTCCTAAAATTCTTGGAATATTTTCTGCCATTGCAATTGATATTAATTTCTGTTCCAAATCCTTATATCTTCTATCCTATGTATTGTTGCAATTTTATAAGATATCCTTTATGCTTATTTTTCAGTAGTACATATTTATTTACCTTCTAATATTACTTGTGTAGAGGAGGTTTCCATCACTCTCCTAGTCTGTAAGTTTGTCATACTTTGGTGACTTGTGTGTTACTATGATGCTAAAAACTATGCTACCAATATTTTAAATATGTATGGTGGACTGGTTTCAACAGACTGTCCAGACTAAGACAAACTAGGAAGAAAGGCCTGAAAATCTACTTCTAAAAATCAGTCAATGAGAAACCTATGGATCACAACAGAACATTGACTAACATAGTGCTGAAAAATGAACTCTGCAGGTTGGAAGGCACTCAAAATACACAGTGGCCACAAAAATGAACAATGGACTAGAGCTTATCAATGATCATGTAGCTAACACAGCAACATTTCATTTTGTTGTATATGGGTTCAACATGAGTTGGGGATAACTCATGGCAACTGCCAACAACAACAGAAAAGGTACAGGAAGCAAAGAGGCTAATTTTAAAATAAAGTTTAATTTTTAAATATTGGATTGTAGTTGTTGTTTGGTGCTATCCAATTGGCTCTGACTCATAGTGATCTTATGTACAACAGAACAAAACAATGTTTGATCCTGCACCAGTCTCACAAGCCTTGCTATACTTCAGCCCATCGTTGCAGCTACTGTGTCAATCCATCTTGTAGATGGTCTTCCCTTTCTTCACTGACCCTCTACTTTACTAAGAATGATATCCTTCTCCAGGGAATGGTCCCTTCTGACAACATGACCAAAGTAGGTGAGATAAAATCTGGCCATTCTCAATTCCAAGGAGCACTCCAGATGCAGTTCTTCCAAGACAGATTTATTCTGGCAATCCATGGTATTTTCAGTATTCTTCAACAACATCACAATTCAAAAGTTCAACTTTTCTTTGGTCTTCCTTATTCATTGCCCAAGGAGCTCTGGTGGCAAAGTGCCTAAGGTATTTGACTGCTAATCAGAAGTTTAGTGGTTCAAATCCACCAGCCACTCTGTGAAAGGAAGCTTGGACAATCTACTTTCATAAACCTTTACTGCCTTGGAAACCCAAAGAGGGTTGCTGTGAGTTGGAATCCACTCAGTGGCAGTGTATTTGGCTATTTGGTTTATTCATTGCCCAGCATTCATATGCATATGGAACCAATGAAAATACCCATGGCTTGGGTTTGGCACACCTTAGTCTTCAAAGTCATATCTTTGCCTCTGAACACTTAAAGAGGTATTTTGCAGCAGATTTGCCCAGTGTAATATGTCGTTTGATTTCTTGACTGCATATATATTTACTTGTGAAGTTATTTGAGTTCTTTCCTATCACCTGACTGAACCCCACCCCTAACATTTTCTCTTATCTCTGAACTTTATCATTTCTTTCTCCAGACTCATCATTTGCCATGGCTGGGTTATATCTGAATTGTGAGCAACAGCCATCTAACAGGTTATGTGACTACTACCTGACCTCTTCCCTTTAATATATGGTTTCCAGATAACTCTATCTAGAATATTACTTTTATTACATTATTTTCATCTCCAAACATAGAAAAAGCCTCTCTGGTGCCGATTGTATAAAGTCCATTCTTCATATCATGTTACTCAAGACCAAGTAGAATTTGACCATAGATCATCTTCTCAGAGAGATCTACAATTATCATTCTATAGTCATCTTTATGATGAGGTCAAATTGAACTGCTTAACTTGAGCACACACTATGATTTCTCTTGCATTGCTAATACCAACAGTGGTATCCTGATCTCAGCCAAACTTCTACCCATTGTTGAAGGTCCAGTGTTAATAACTCCTTTCATGAAAGCATGTACCATCCATGGCTGCCAGAAATGATCTCCCACATTTGTTATAATGCAAATAGCAAAGGCATTGGTGACAACTAGATCTAGAGACAACTTTGTCACCATTGTTGAAGTTTTTCAGAACCGCAGCTGGTAAATAATTTTTCCTCAGTTTTCTGATCAGTGAAGTGGGTAAATACTGCCAGTTTACAAATTGGATGTGTATCTTAAATGAGAACATGGATATTAAATATGTAATGAGCTCTGATATCTTTCAGAATCTTAATCAGTGTCCCTCTGTTATCTTTCTTCTAAATGACTTTCTACTTCTTTTGCATTTTTTTAGGCATATATATATATTTTTTATTTTTTATATTACTCATTATCATTCTAAAGTAATTACAATGTTACAAATAATTAAATTAATTTCATATTAAAAATCGTGGAGAAGGGAAAATAAATGAGATTGTTTAGCATTTATTTCTACATGAATTAATGTTTCAATAAGGTTATTTTGTAAATAAACTATGATGGAGAAGGCCTGTTGCTTTCCATATTCCTGTTTTCTTTTCTTTTTAAAAAGTTGAATGAATTTGCTAAATTAGAACTTATCCTAGCCAAGTAAGGCATCTAAACATTCCTGTAAACCAAAAATTAACCCTGGAGCCCAGAAATGGACCTGTTATCATTTACCAAGGTAAGAAAGCATAGATAGTGAATCGTAATAAATATAGATAATTGATGAGTTGAGCATCCAGCATAAACTAAAGTATGATGTTCCCCTTCCCAGTAATAATGAGAAAAGTAGTTTGTATTTTCTATAACAATATTTTGTATAAAAACATCTTCTAAATGTGAATTTATTCTTGCTTCTATATTAAATGCATGAAATAAAATAATTTTAAGGGAACTCTCATGTCAACTTTTATTCTCTTCTTCTTGTAAATGAGGTCAGAATTTCAAAGTAAAGACCTCTATTGGTACATGAATAGAGACAAATAGAGCCTACAGTGTTGTAAGCAATCATCTATTAATTGACTGGCCAAATAGTAAGGTTCTCACCATTCTTTACATTCCTAATCAGAGTCTTATCTGTTTCTTTCAGTTTTAAAAGCATTGTCTTATGGATGTAATGACTTGAAATGGATGAAAGATTACATTACCGTATTGTCTCCAGTCCGCAGAAGGGGGTAAGTGTTGCCACAAAATAAGGTTGTTTAGATGATTTAAGTACGAAGGTAGAGAATGAAAACCCTTCTGATTATACCAGACCTAAAAAAGAAAGATTATTTAATGTCTCTCATAAAATTAGCTCTTCAACTCATTTTTCTCCTATTCTCAGATAAAGGGAATGCATATGTCAATTAGCTTCATCAGCACCTGAATGCAGGACACAATGTGCCTTCCTGGCTGACAGTGAGCAGTGAATTTCAGTCTGCTAATTTTGTATTTATCTCAAGCATATAATTTACACCTAAAAATAGTTTAATTTTTGCCAGAACAAATGTGAATGTTGCTATATAATTATATTCTCACAGGGAAAAAAGAACTCAAGCCCATCATTTTTTTTGTTTGTTTGTTTCTCAGTTGGTAAGCTAATGAAATTTGACCTGCAAATTAAAAGCATGGACAAGCATCAGAAAAAAAAAAAAAAAAAAAAATTACTTTCAAATTAATAACTGAATGTGGAATATTATTTCTCAAAATAAACTGAGCTGAATATTTGAATAAAGTAGCATGCCTAACATACAGGAGAAATGTGAAGGGTGAAATAAGAAAAAGAAGATGTTCTTAAAGTTGGGATAATAAGTATTGTAAAAAATACTAATTGAACCATCAATATCTACATTTCAATATATCAATATTTTAATGAGAAATGGGGCAAAGTATTCAGTTTGCAAAGCTGCTCAAGAAATGTAATGAATCAACTGACAGATTTTTATCTTAATTCAATAGTTTGAACAGTTCATTTCTCTAAACAATGTTGTTTGTTGTGACAGACAATTCCCTTTTTGGAATTGGAACTACTTTACAGAAAGCGAATGCTTGAAGAAACCTATTTTGAGAATGTCAGGGTTTTGAGAATGAACATCCTGTAGAGCTCTTGAAGCCCTTTTGCCCACCTGAGGGATTCACTTAGCACCACATTATTCTTTCAGTGACCTTAACAAAGGGTCTTATGGCACAAACTTGAATTGATCTTCATTCTATTGCCATTGTATCATCATTCAACATATTGATGTCCATGCTGTAGTAAAAAAAGTTTTCTATTTCTGAATTTACCACAGGTGACCATTTTAAGAAGTGTTTTAACACTACATAGTCATCTTTTTTTTTTTTTTTTAAGTCACCCTTAGATGTTTTCTTGCCATTTTTTCACCTAGCTTAAGAGTTTTGTTATACATTTCTTAAAAAAAAAAAAAAAAAGCCATTTCCTTTGAATCAGATCCAACTCATAGCGACCCCTCCTTGGGTTTCTGAGGCAGTATCACTATGGAAGTAGATTGCCCAATCTTCCTTCTGAGGAGTGGTTGGTGGGTTTGAACAACCATCCCTCTGGTTAGCAGTCAAATGTCTTAGGCACTAGGCCACCAGAGCTCCCTACATATTTCTAGTATCCTCTAATTGTTTCCTTGTCACTATCTACTGATCTCCAAACCAATGTCATATATGTTCAGGTTTTTTTTTTTTTTTTTTTAATCAACATTTCATTCTGTACAGATTTCTATATTATTTATCTATTGCCACAATAATGCTGTATGACAAATAATTACCAACCCAGGGGCATAAACAATATATGTCAATTTAGCTCATAGATCTGTGGGGCTCTGCTCCTATGGGCTGGGCTAGACTGATCTATGCCAGGAGTACTCATATGTTTAATTGGCACTTTGCATCAGCTGAAATGATGGGTCTTGGGGGCAGGGGGCTCAGATATACTGGATTTTTTTTCCCCCAGGAATGAGTTTCTAAAGCACTAGACTGTATTCTGGAATTAACTTGGAGGATTTCCTCCCCACCCAATCTATCAGTCAGGAAGCAAAAAAAACACCAATAAATGAAAAGAAGTTAATCTCCTTTTAGGAACATATTATTGAAGTCAGGTAGTTTAGAAAACTTTTTATCTTTGAGGCCAGTTAAGCTAGAGAGGAAGCCTCTTATCACTCCTAGGGATGGAACCTAGAGCCACCACAAGCAATAAACAAGCCCTAATCAAGGCTGCTAAACCCAGAAGGGGGAGCTCTGGTAGCATAGTGGCTAGGGCACTTGACTGCTAACCAGAAGGCTGGTAGTTCAAACCCACCAGCCACTCCTCGGAAGGAAGGTTGACAATCCTACTTCCGTAGTGATACTGCCTCGGAAACCCAAGGAGGGGTCGCTATGAGTCAGGGCTGACTCGACGGCACATAACAACAACAACAACAAACCCAGAAGGTTAGCAGTTCAAACCCACCACTTGCTAAGCAGAAGGAAGATAGGCCAATCTAATTCTGTAAAGATTTACCACCTCAAAAACCCAATGGGGGTCTCTACGAGTCAAATCTACTTGATGGCAGTGAGTTTAGTTTTTGGTCATCATCCAAACTAGAACTCCACTCCCAAGCCCTCCTCCCACCCACCCTCCACTCTCCATGCTGCCTGTTGACGCTCCTGCTCACACATACCATAAATTCTAAAATGGTCCCAGCCAGACCCAGGAGCATGTTAGAAAGAACAACTTTGCCCTCTAACTGATCCCTGAAAGAAAGTCACCAGAGCTACATCATTGATGCTACATGGACGCATTTCAGAAGCCAGAGATTCATCAGCCACATCTGTGCTAAGCTATAACCCCGCCCTCTATGAATAAGGCATGACACCTCCCCAAACTATGAATGTATATAACTTCCTATTTCTCTGAAACCTATAAAACCCTAAAATCATTCCCCTTTTGGAAGACCATTTTTAGTGGCTCTTTAGCCCACGTTGTCTCCATTTTTACTTGCCAAGGAAAAATAAAGAAACCTGCTTGAGAAATGTTTTGCCATTTCTGGCTATTTTTAGTAGATAGGCAGGGACCCTTTGTGTCTAACCAGAAAACTCTGACCCTTTTCTGTAACATCATGATACCCTCAAAACAGATCATAAATATCAGAAGGCATGAGTAATAATTCTTAGAAGAGCAACTGAGTACCTGTAAAACAAAAATCACTTAATAGATATTAAAGTTCATAAAATTCTATCTGAAAACAGAATGTGTGCACAATACTGCTGCATCTTACAACCGCTATCCTCAGCAACACCAACTCTGCTTAGTAGGTAACAGTTGAAGAAATAAAGCCAGCAACTAAATGTGGTTAGTTGCTCTATCTGAAGTATATATGTTCAAAAAGGTGTTTTGATTATATTAGCAAAACATTTAAGATGTGAACGATATAAATCAGAAAGGTGCAAAAAGAGATTTTCTATAATATAATGAATCATATATTAAACATATTTGCATGCAAATTTTCCATTTTCTTTTCAAAACAACTATTCAGATTATATAGGTTATATCTTCAGAAAGTACCCTAAAGGCTGAAATAAAAGGCTCATTATAAATTACTGAAAGTTTAATACAATAACTTGACATGACATCAACTACAGACACTTCCAATAGGAATTTCTTATAAAAGTTTGTCCTTTATACTCCACTGCAATATTGTAATAACTCAGCTTTCTGGAAAGAATTCATTCCTACTACCTAAAGGCCCAGCTACATGTCATTGCACTCATGTGCCTGGCACAGTACCTGTCAAACAACATTAAAAACTCCAACAATCACCACTCATGCAATTCAGTATGGAAGTCTAGTATAAAAAAAGAGAAAATGAGACAAACATCAGAGAAACACAGGAATCACTGCCCACACTCATTACTGAGGAAGTCCTCACTTTGATGTCCTAGATACAACAACCACTGTGAAAAAGAAAGTTTTGCATTTAAACAGATTAAAAAGTTGAAATATCCTTGGAGGAAATTAAAAGATTCCTTCTACAATTGTTGTTATGTGCCATCAAGTCGGACCCAACTCCTAGTGACCTGTCCTGGGGTTTCGGAGATGATATCATTCCTTCCTTCCATCACTCCTTCATTCTGAGGAGTGGCTGGAGGGTTTGAACCACCAGCCTTTTGGTTGGCAGTCAAGTGCCTTAGGCACTATGCTACCAGAGCTAGTGGCCTCATTGTTGTTGTTGTTGTTATGTGCCGTCGAGTCAGACCCAATTCGTACTGACCCCTCCTTGGGTTTCTGAGGCAGTATCACCAAGGAAGTAGATTGCCCCATCTTCCTTCTGAAGAGTGGCTGGTGGGTTTGAACCACCAGCCTTCTGGTTAGCAGTCAAATGCCTTAGGCACTACACTACCAGAGCTACTCATAGTATGTTTAAAAAGCCAGTAAATATATTTTAGGTTATTTCCTTATCAAACTAGGAATCTTGATAATTTCATATCAAGATATAAAGCTTCTCACATTCACTGTCTATAAAAGAAAACATATTTGAACAAACCTCAGCTGAAGGAGGGATTTCTGAACAGACCACACAATGACTGGTAAAATTTTTGCCAGGGATCACATTGTGAAATACCTATTTAAAAAATCTGCATTCTATAACATGGATGAACTTGGAGGACATAATGCTAAGTGAAATAAGTCAATCACAGAAGGACAAATATTGTATTAGTCTGTTATTGTAGAAAGTCAAGGAAAGGTTTATATATGGAAGGAAATTTTCTTTGTTGGTTACCAGCGCTGGGAGGGGAGGGTAGAGAACACTGTTACGTAGGTTGAGACGAGTATTGATTTGGGTGAAGAGAAGGGTAATGGACCAAATGTGAGTGATAAACATGGTGGCATTGAGGAAGAGGAAGGCATAGAGAGGTACGGGGACAACAAAGATGAACCCTTTTGCACATATAGTACTGAGTTGTCAGTGAAGGCAAACATGGCTATATAGGTGGATAGATGGGTAGACAGGCTGAACTATTAGGGATGTCTATTCAGGGGGGAAGGAGCTCTGGTAGCATAGTGGCTAAAGCACTTGACTGCTAACCAGAAGGCTGGCGGTTCAAACCCACCAGTCACTCCTCGGAAGGAAGGTTGGGCAATCCCACTTCCGTAGTGATACTGCCTTGGAAACCCAAGGAGGGGTCGCTATGAGTCGGGGCCGACTCGACGGCACATAACAACAACAACAACAACAATTCAGGGGGGAAGTGTGTCCAAGATCATATATAGGGTTGGCAAACAATGTTTCTACAAGTGTATTTGAATGTTCTGTAAGAATTCCCAGGAGTACAGTAGAGCTGACAAGGGACATAGTTGTAGTCACTTCTTGGCCACAGCCAGCCACCCAGAGTGAGTGAGTAATTGAACCTGTGGGCTCAGGACCATAGTCACAGGGGACATCAAACTCAATTGGCATAGCATAGCGACTGGGATCTTAAAGGCTTGCAAGCAGACATCTAGATGTAACAATGGGTCTCTCCTCATCCAGAACAAAGAAGAATGAAGAAAATCAAAGATTCATGGAAACAATTAGTTCAAGGGACTGGTATACAATGTAATCCTCAGCCTATATGACTATGAGACCAGAAGAACTAGATGGTGCCCAGCTACCATTGTCAACCACTCACAGGGGGATTTATGTAGGAGATCCTGGATAGAGTGGGAGAACAATGTGGACCAAAATTCAAAATCATTTGGAAAAAAAAAGAGGGACCAAGTTTTCTGGTCTGATGGAGCCACTGAGACTATGGCCCTAACTGTCCCTCAGGTTTGGAATTGAACCCACACCTGTGATTTCCAGCCAAACAAAAGACAGGCATATGAGGTGAACATTTACACTAAGTAGATACACTCCTTGGAGAGAACAATCATGGGAGAATAGAAGGGCCGTGTGTGCACAGGAACGTAGCTCAAGGGGCAGGAGTGTGTGGAGGGAAGGAACACAAGGAAGAGGTAACTATGGGAACACAAGGAAGAGGTAACTATGGGGAAGAAGTGGGAGGGGAGCTGTTGCATTGTGGTAAATTGTAGTCAATGTCAAAAGACAAAGTGTCTGTGAACTGCTGTATGGAAAGTGAATTTGCTCTGTGAATTTTCACCCAAATTACTATTAAAAATATATATATATTGCATTGTACAGAGTGAGTTATGTAACAGGCACAAGTCCTAATTCTCATAAACTTTGTCAGATTGCCCAACCTTCCTTCCAAGGAGTGGCTGGTGGGTTTGAACCACCAGCCTTCTGGTTAGCAGTCAAATAGCCTTAGGCACTATACCAGTAGAGCACATAGATCATCCTTATTTTATAGAAATAAATGACTTATGGTACTTTCTATATTGATGCCCTAATGAACTAACTAGGAACCCTGGTGGTGCAATGGATAAGGGATCAGCTGTTAACCAAAATGTTGGCAGCTTGAACACACCAGCTGCTCCAAGGGAGATGGAAGTGGGAAATTGCTCCTATAAAGATTACATCATTGAAAACTCTATCTGGCAGTTCTCTGTGCTTTAGAGTCTCTATGAGTCTAAATAGAATAGACTGCAACAGTTTGGTTGTTTTTATTTGTTTGTTTGTTTTGTTAATAATGAACTAACTCAGTATACAGCAAATAATTTTTTTCCTCTCAAAATCTCCTCTTTTCAAGCTTCTTTGTCAATCAAACACCATCCTCTTTCCCTAATCATGAAGGTCCAAAGTGGTAAATACTTTATCCTTCCTCATCTTAAGATTCTATTTACTTTGTTCCTTAGAAAATCTCTCATATTCCCCACTTCTCCATTCCTACTGATGAATGAGGCATCTTAATTCTCAGTCCTCTTTCTTCAAGCTTGAAGAAATCTCTATGATTTCCCGTTCCTATAGGGTAGTGCTAACATAGCTGGAAAAGCCAGGGGCCCTAATATTATTCCAGCATAATCATTGCATTCATCACGTTAGCTTTAGACCCATCTGCCTTTTGGAGATGAGGAATTTAATTTCCTGTATGGAAGAATTCCTTGGCTTTAAGGGAAGCTGGTGGTGATGTTTCTAGTTATCCCAACTATGGATGTCTTTATAAATAGAGTATCCTCTCATTTGGTTTGGAACTATTAGGTGAGTTCCTGTCTTAACATCAAGTAATAACCTATTTACTATATTTCTGTACAGTCTAAGGGAAAAAGTAATTGTATTTTTCTATGGAATGCACACAACTTTTCACAATAACAAATATTATGATTTGATATAGTTCCCACATGTCCCAAAATAGCTCTTGGAATACTGATTTTTTTAAAAGCCATTCTGAAGCAGAAAAGAAGTCTTTTACCTTTGCCAGAGTTTTTGGTTTTGATATATTTGAATTGGCTTCTCCAACTTGTTCAGGGATTTGCACTCCAAAAGACCAACCTCCAAGCCTATTAAGGTTAAACATTGTGTTATTTCAATTAGAGAGAACTTCTAACCAGAGTGAAATATCAATTGCAATAGTTAGAATGGCCTTAGGAGAGCAGTCAACTGAGAATTCATCTTCTGTGAGCTGACCAAACGGGTGAGTCATCATGCTGATGGTAGTGTTGGGCATACAGGTATCCACTGTGGGAAATGATTATGTAAAAAGTATTGATGAGGCTATCCACATAAGTAATCCTCCAAACTTACCATGTTAGCAAATACTTGCCATGTAAAGGATATGGTCTTGATTTTCTATAAATCAGCCAGTCAGAATTACTTACATTTTTGTTGTGATCTTGTGAGCCACCAAGTCTTTGTGATGCTTTGTCATCCCTAGATTCATCTCTTTAATGTTCAATTCAAATATTGCCTTGTTCAGGAAGGCATCTCAGAATACTTCACTTAGGTTGGATGTTCCTTCTCTTTTGGATTGTCATCATGCCCTATGTTTCCATCATTTACCACACTGGGTTTAAGGGTTTTTTTTTATTTATTTGTTTGTTTGTTTTTTGCTAGTTTATAAAGCTTTGAGAGTTTCACCTGGGTGGAAATTGTATCTTTCATTTCCATACCCCTATGGAAATGCACCTGATGCATAGTCAGCTAGCAAAAATCTTTGACAGAAATAAGAGAACATACTGAATTTTGTCTTCAATTTTCTGTATAAATGGAGATTGAAGAGCAATCTTCTCCCATAAGGTCCCTACACTAGTAAAGGCCAGGGAAGATGGCTCTCTGCAAAAGCTGAGGAAAAAGAATAAAGATGCAATCTCTCTTGGTTGAATTTAGTTCATTCATTTATTCAACAAAAATTGACTTAGCACCTCTGTGTGTCAGGCACCAGCCTAAATTTGGAGCACCAAGTCCCTACCTTTAATAAAGTACTATACAAGATTAAAAAACAAAGGGGGGGGGATTCTATAGGACACTTTTAAAGACATTAAGATGTGGCACAACAGAAGAGAAGAATGCACATTACCTAGGATAAAGCCAGTATCCCATCACCTCTCTGCCAGTTTGTTTTACTATGGTGCTCTGCATATCTGTGATGCTGGAAGTTATGCACAGGGTCACCTATGGCAGAAAGGTTTATGCAGAACTGTCTGTCCAAACTCAGACAGACTAGGAAGAAAGGCATGGCAAATCCTTCCCAAAACAAGCTAATTAAAACTCTATGAATCCCAATATATTATTGTTCAAAATATTATTACTGGAAGATGAGCCCCCTAACTTAGAAAGCACTACAACAATGGACTCCAACATACTAGCAATCATGAAGATGACACAGGACCAGATAATGTTTTGTTGTATTATACATAAGGTTGGTATGCATCAGAGCCAACTTGAGGTCAACTAGCAATAGAGCAGGTGTCTAGATAGAATGATAACATGCTGGGATGTTAAAATTATTAAAGAGTGGATATATAAAAAGCCAAAATAGGGTGTCCCAGGCAACTTAAATCACCTATGGTATGCACTCAATGTGAAGCACTATTGTGTGTTTGGATGTATGAAATGTTATGGTGTGGAGAATATTACTGTAGTTTAAAGCAATAAGAACCTTTCTTTGGTACCTGCTTCATTTAAATTCACCTCCTAGCCTCAGAGAAATTTAGCAGAAAACAAAAGTTCTTTCCAAAAATTACCAAGAGGAATTATGAAACACCAGGTGCACCCAGGTTCCCATATTAGATGCTGCATAGCAGAAGAAATTCTAAAAGGAGATCACTATTTCATTGTGCCATTAATTTATCTACTGTTATATTCAAAAGTAATAAAAAAAAAAGCTACTGGTTCCCCCTGTTTCTACCACTGACTGAATCTCAATTGTTATGATTTCTTTCCTCCATTCCAAAAGAGTGAAAATCAAGAGTGAGAAATTTTACTAAGGCCTGCAGCATTTATTTGGGATTTGTATGAGTACAAAATAAGAAATAAAATTCTGGGCTTTTAAGAACAATAGAATTTGAAAAATAGGTTTTCCAAAGCAATTCAAAGATAAGAAGGAAAAAAAAAAAAAAAGTACTTTGTACTTGAACACACCTGGGTTTTTCTGAAGCTACCAGCAAGTACTCCTCCACATTGAAGGCAGAAAGGTTCAGCAGAGTGTGGCCCAGGCTGTTCTTCAAGTAGGGTGGGCCGGAGCTTCCATTTGGACATTTCTGTAATTTTTACGAAAGATATAGAATAAAAACTTATTTATAATGATAATCAGTTTGAAATGACTTTAGACTACATGATTTAACTATCATTTTATATCTTTTAATTGTCAAAAAAAATCAGCTATGGTTTTTATGTACTTTCGTTTCTAAAATCTCTGTAAGAGGTTCTTACATTTGAGAATTCTGTTAGAATTCCACTGTGATATTAACAATTAATTATATCTGGGGACTTTAAAATATTTTCTGTATGTATGTTTGGGCTGATTGGTAAGAACTGAAAAGGAAAAATACGGTTTTCACTTGTGTGATCTTGTATTTGATGAATATGAGAGTCAGAGGCAACTAGTGGGAGGATGACAAGAGGGAAAATTCAAAAGAATGTGTTTTTTTTTAAAAAAATAAATTTATAAAGTGTAAAGTAAATAGCTATTCTCCAGTCACTCACTGTAGGAGAAATAATTTGCTTCTGAATCATGAATGATTATCAAATAATGACAGAACACTATGGACCCAGGAGATTGGAGGTTGCACATAGTATGATCCCAGCTGCAGACAAATCAGATTTCAAATGTCTTGTTTCCATCTCCTCAAACAATTCAGGAAAGATAATGTGTAAAAATAGTTACAACTTCAGGAAAGACTATCTCTGGACTTCTCAGTTCAGGTTTCTGTGCTTGTTTTCTCATTTGTAAAATGGAAATAAAAATAACCTTATTTAACCCAGGGGTTTACTGTTAGGTTCAGATATTTATATTAAAGAACTACAGCAAAGTAAGGAGCTCCAGTAAGACTGCAGAATAAGCAGACAAACTACACAGATCCTCTTCAACAAAGAAAAGGGGAGCCAGTTAACACAGATACAGAAGATAATCCTGGAATCCTGAGCTTTGAAAGGAAGGATACAGAAGTGGACTAAGCTCCAACTAATAGAGGAACCTTCATGAAAACGCCAAAAAAGGAGACATATAGAGCTGAGGACTGTTAGCAATCCTAACAGCAGTGACAGCTTAGATATTGCCATGTGGTATCAGGACCTAAGAATTAACCTAAACATCGGCCCTGCTAGCCAGAGGCTGAACAGAGGACTGCACTGTGGGCTGGTGAATAAAAGGGGAAACAGCGAAGAAGGAGATGGGCTGGGCTGTGGAGTTTTGGCCGTTCAGAGGGCACAGCCATTTTGAATGTTTACAAGTTGTTGTTGTTGTTGTTATGTGCTGTCGAGTCGGCCCCGACTCATAGCGACCCCTCCTTGGGTTTCTGAAGCAGTATCACTATGGAAGTAGGATTGCCCAACCTTCCTTCCGAGGAGTGGCTGGTGGATTTGAACCGCCAGCCGTCTGGTTAGCAGGCAAGTGTCTTAGCCACTATGCTACCAGAAGTAGTTGGACTATTTTGGATATTTAAAGTGACAGTGTTCTCTCAGATTCTAGGGACTTAAGAATAGGCTCCACTTGCCAGGGACAGCAAGGACATACCTAACACAAAAGACTGGAAAGAAGCAATATTCCCCTTGTTATTCTTATACCCCACAGCCTCTTTGTGAATGGAGGTGTGGCCATCCCACGCTCCCACCCACCTTCTGAGTGGACAGGAATTCCTTCCCAGTCTGGGTGTTTGGTGGAGCCTGGGTGTCCTGCCTTGCCCTGCCCAGCCCAGAATTTTTTTTTTTCTTTTCATAATTCTTTTTTTTTTTTAGTTTGTTTGTTTTAATATTATTTTTTCATCCTTTTTATTATTTTTCTTTCTCTTTCCCTTCCCAAGTTCTAGTTTTCAGCTTTTTCTCTCTTTCCTGTTCCTGGTTCTCATCTTTTTCTTTCTTATGGTTCACCCCATTCCTTGTTTTTCTTTTTGCATTTTTCCCATTGATTTCTTTATTATTCTCCTACATTACCTCTTTTATCTTATTCCCCTCTCCCCAGATATTGCAGGGCTTTCTTTCTTTCTTTCTTTCTTTCTTTTTCCTTTTTCCATGAATATTTCTTTTGGCTTTTTAAAGTTTTTGTTTTTCTCATTTTGGTGATTGTTCCTGTATGTTTATGCAGTGTGTGTTTTCTGTTCTCTTGCTTTTACTTTTGTGATAGTTTTTCACATGTTGTTTTTATCTAACTGAATGAGAGACAGCAACCATGCCCATATGACCCAACAACACCTGCTCCTCCTTTAGCTCCACTTATGGAGTGAGGGCCACCACTTCCTTCTGCACCAACTGGCCAATGATACAAGACCACCAATAAGACCATGACTTACCCTTAATTGATTGTCACAAACAGTTAACAGAGATCTGTGCAGACACCCTTATTCTCTATCACACTGTCCAAGAGACAGGTGGTGAGAGCATAAGTGCTGCCAACTAGCATATAGAGGAGCACAGTACTCTGCTTTCTCATATACATCCAAAAAATAACAAAGAAAATTAAAATTGTGGGTGAACCACTCCAACATACAATCACAAATTAAATATAAATATAACAAAGTCACAATGTCTTGGAGACAACAAACTATCACAGTCCACAAAAGAAACAAGATAAAATGGTAGACACAAGGGAACAGGATACAGATCCAGAACACATCCATAAGGAAGAAGCAACATTGGACCTCCCTGATAAGGAATTCAAAATAATTATACTTAGTATCTAAGTATTATACTTAGGAAAACACTGACAAAATTAAGGAAAACACAGACAAAACCCTAGAATAAGTGCAGAAGAAAATACAAGAACAAAATGACAAAATAGAAGTTAGAAATGATTCAAAATTTACAGATAGAAATCCAGATGATTAATACTATATTTTCAGAAATAGATAACAAATTGAAAGGGCAAATGTGTAGAATTGAAAAAAATGAAAGAATTAATTAGATTAAAGACAAACACCTGAATACTTCTTTGGAAAGGGATCAATCAGAAAAAAAGATCAAAACAAAATGAAAAAAAGCCTAAGATTCCTGTGGGATACCATCAAAAGGAATAATCTACATGTAATTGGAATTCCAGAACAGGAAAGAAAAAATAAAACCACTGAGAAAATTGTCTAAGATTTGTTGGAATAGAACTTCCCTGATATGATGAAAGATGAGAATATATGCATTCAGGAAGTCCAAGAAACCCCAAACCAGATAGATCCCAAAAGTCACCAAGACCAAAGACAAAGAAGCAATCCTAGAAGCAGCATGAGAAAAACAAAAAGGTACCTACAAAGAGCAACCAATAAGAGTAAACTCTGATTTCTCAGCAGAAACCATGCAGGTGAGAAGGCAATGGGATGGTATATAAAACTCTGAAAGAGAAAAATTTCCAACCAAGAATTATATACACAGCAAAATTGTTCCTCAAATATGATGATGGAATTAGGAGATTTCCAGATAAGCAGAAATTAAGGAATTTGTTAAAAGCAGACCAACCTTAAAAGAGAAACCAAAAGGAGTCCTTTGAACGGAGAGCCAATAATAGCAAACAACAACTGACCATTAATACACATGAAGACATAACCCAGAAACCAACACAGCTATGGAAACATCCCAACTAAAATAAGATTACAAGATTGAAACCAGGGGAACCAAAAAAAAAAAAAAAAAAAACAACAAATAGAAATCCAGAAGATTAATACTAAGATTTCAGAAATATGTAACACATTGCATGGGCAAAGAAATAGAATTGAATCAATGGAAGACAGAATTAATGAGATGAAGACAAATACCTCAATATTACTTTGTTAAGGGATCAATCGGGAAAAAAAAAGATCAAAACCAAATGAAGAAAGCCTAAGATTCATATGGGATCCTATCAAGAGGAATGACCAATATATAATCAGAATTCTAGAACAGGAAGAAACAAACAAAACCACAGAGAAAATTGTCAAAGATCTTTTGGAAGAGAAATTCCCTAATATGATGAAAGACAAGAATATATCCATTCAAGAAGTTCAATGAACCCCAAATAGAATAAATCCCAAAAGAAAATCAGCAAGATATAGCATACTCAAGCTCACCAAAACTGAAGACAAAGAAAGAATCCTGAAAGTAACACTGAAAAAACAAAAAGTTACCTACAAAGGGCAACAAATAAGATTTCTCAGCAGAAACCATACAGGCGAGAAGGCAATGGAACAATATATGTAAAACCCTGAAAGAGAAACAATTTCCAACTAAGAATTATATACACAGCAAAATTGTCCCTCAATATGATAATGGATATAGGACATTTCCAGATAGGCAGAAATTAAGGGAATTTGTTAAAACCATATCAACATTACAAGAAATGCTAAAAGCAGTCCTTCGGACAGAGAACTGACAATGGCAAACAACAACTGATGATTAACACACACAATGATATCACCCAGAAACCAAATCATTTACAGACTTTTGCAAAGTAAAACAAGCTTACAAGACTACGAAAACAGAAGCAGATACATCAATTGGTAAATGAGGAAAACTATAAGACAAAAAGAAGGACTAAATACTGTAATTACACAAATTTTAAATGGTGAGGAAGTCAACACAATTGCAATATAGAACAAGCTGTTTTAAACTTGGGAAGAAAACTATAAATCACAGGGTAATTTCAAATAAAAATAACAAACCTTGGCATCAACATAAAAAAAGAGGACAAGTACAAATATTTAGCAAATATTAGAACAATGGCAACAAAGGAGATATAACATGATTCATTAAAAAAAAAAAAAATGAGCTCAACACAGAAAATTAGATGGAACAAAGAGATCCACAACACCATGAAAATTACATAACAAAATGACATCAAGACATGTATACTTGTCGATAATTACACTGAATTTAAATGGATTAAATACACCATTCAAAGGACAGAAAGGTGCAGACTGGATAGGAAAACATGACCCATTAATATGTTGTCTACAAGAGTCTCACCTTAGACACAAAGACAAAAATGGACTAAAAATCAAAGGCTGGAAGAAAATAAATGAAGCAAATGACAATGGAGTAGAAGTGGTAATAATAATTTCTGGTAAAAAAGATTTTGAGACAA